TATACCTGCCAAAGCGATAATCATGAAGGCTGGTTGTGAGTGGGGCAACGACATGGTGACAATCAGATTATTTGACTTCGTGCAGTGGCGAGATCGACTGAAAGAAGATTCGTCAGAATTTGTTCAGATATCATCTCCGTCTCGGTTCAGATTGTCTACCGAGTGTTGATTTATCGAGTGGGCGTTTTGTGAAATACACCGCCAGCAGTTGTGGCCGCAGAATTTAAACGAGCCGGTAGTAACGTCATCAAATCATCACCCCAGGGATGTGTTTGATCCCCACTGCCACTGCCTGACTTTCCCTATTGTGTATGTTGAGTGGCAGTCCTTTTATTAGCCGCTTCCCCCTGCCTGAAAAATTTATCTTTGTATATTGAATAAAAGAAGTAAAAAAAATGAACAGAACTAAAAGTTTGGGGGGGGAGAGGTCTTGTGACAAGTTATGAACTACTCGTCTGGTATTTTTTCAAATACTCCGATGAACTATTTCCCTACACACATGAGTGTGATGAACAGCAGACGGAATAAACCCTGTAGTCACGAGGAATCGAATCCCTCATTGAAACCGACAACCAAAGCCCCGCGCGACTTGGAGTGGTGAATCACATAAGTCCCCTTCCCACCGTAACTTCGGGTTGAGCGTGGGATTGAGTCAGACAACAACTTAGCACCAAATGCAACCAAACTGCTTTTTAGCTACCCGATTCAGATGAAGCAAGAAAAAATAACCATGGATTTGGTGAATGAATTTTTGTAAGCTAAAAACTGTACAGTGTGGGATTGAAAAAGTCACTTATGTCATCATTTCTTCTTCGGGACTTTCTCGGCCGGAACGGATAGTTTGTTCAAGGGAGCCAAATGGAAGCCTTCGGGCCTAAAAAGACAGAGGGAGAGAGAAAAAAAGATGAACAGTTGAATCGCCAAGATCTGAAAATCGTAATGGGTGGCTGTGCGATTCACCATGACACAGAAAATTTGCGTGGAGCTTGCACAGACAGGGATCGTGAATGATAGAACAAACCAAAAATCAATGACTGCAATATTTTACCATAAAGATTTGAGTCTATGAATTCGNGTTGATGAGACTCAACCCGGTCGAAACAGCTGTCCAGTGCTTCCTAGTTTTTCGGCTTACACTTTGTTTAAACCATGAATTCATCTTATAACCAAATCAACTCCTCCACCACTTTTATTTACCTCAATATGGTCGGCTGTGGGTGTCTCGGGTTGTCCTTACGCCTCTTGGTTGATTCCGATACATGTTTTTTTTAACCAACTCCCCTAGGTGAACTTTTGGTGGTCCACCTGACCTGTTAAAACCCCGGATGTTGGCTTTACGTCCTCTCACTTCGGTGCGAAAACCCCTGCATCGTGTGAGTAGGGCTTCCTCAGCAGAGACTATTGAACACGCTCGGTCGTATAAGTGCACTTGGTGAGATAAAAGAGAAGGGTAACCAGTCACAACCCAAGATACCCATACCCAACTCGAATGATGCTTTCGGAGGAAACCGATAACAGGGGGAAAAGAATAAATTACTTTTCACTTTTAAGGAAATAACAAGTTTCCAGCATAAGAGTGCCAGTCTTTTTCGATCTGTTCTTTTACTTGTCTGCTGTCAATCATCACGTAACTAATATGTCGGAGGAATCTGTCAACCGCATTCCATCCGACAGTATCTAGCCTAAAACTAGCAGTGGTCTTCACCCAGTCTTGCAGTGTTGTTGGCAGCGTGAAAAGTTGAGCAGCGTTAGAAAGGTGTTTAGTTTCATCTTTTTACGCCTAGAAACTGCAAAATACTGCTCCTACGATTGAGTGAGTTCAATCAGTCCACAAACAGAATAGTTCTGCCAAAGTTCNAAAATGATTTGTTCCGAAGCACTATTGAAAGTCAGTCAATTCTATGGTTTATGAGTCCCATAAACGATCACTAAATCCAACAGAAACTGTACATTAACTTGTTACAATAACGATAAATTACAAGCAGCTAAGATTAGCATACTGTAAACAAACATTTTACTTACCAATCAAAAAGCTTCGGAAACTCGTCAAGTTCTGCCTGAGTATATTCATCTAGTCGTTTTGGTACGGGCATAACTTGACGTATCACGCCGGAAAGATTGTCGAGTAATTCTTTCGGAACGGTCTAGTATTTCCGTGGGGAATAAATTACACAAACCATTACCTCAACACCATCAGCGTAGAGGTGTAACCGAGAAAGCCAATACTTCCTGGCAGCACATTGTGGAAGGTTTACCCGAACTTCGCGCAGCATTATCTATCAGACACAGGTGGATGTAACGGAATCAACAAGCAAGGTATATGTGACATTGAACATATGCATGTGAAATCACCAAGATTTAAGTGACGTCTTGAATGTGGTTTGTCGCTGTTGAACACTTTGCAATAGTCAAACGCGAAAAAATCCCCGATCTTCTTAGAAGCTTTAGAATACGTATTCTAGCGGTAATAAACGCTACGCAAGGAAAGCGGAAAGAGAAAATTATAATCGTGTCAAGATGAGTGGCTACTGAAATGTAGGATATGCTGAAAATTTTCATTTTACAGTTTTAATTAATACTCGAATGAAGCACATTAATTAAATGTACTTTTCATTCTTGTTTGCCATATCACGAATCACTTTTTTCAAAATAATTCAACCTTTCTGACAGTGATTAAGCGATCAAGCAAGCTGTGCATTCGGACAGTGGTAGTGCGTGAGCCTCCGGAATGCGGAGCGCGAAGGTGAAGAGCGAGGCACCATACGGTTAACTTTCTTTTCAAAACCACTGTCATTTAAGTTGAAGTAACGCGCTGTTATTTCTTCTATTCGATGCTTGGAGACGTATCTGTTAGCAACGTGCTATATTGACCAAGAATAATTAATTGCTGTATCAATACCACGCCTAAACTATCGGGGCCTTATGTGGTTTGCCATTCCAAGTCCCCGGGCTTAGGTTGCCGGTTTCCACCACTGAACAGCAGGTCCTCGTGACTACGGGATTCGCCCCGTCTGCTGTTCATCACACTTAGGTTTGAAATTTAAAAAATCTAATTGGGCACACCCAGTTTCAGTTCATGTTGTACAACCATTAACCATGCACTTTCGTGTGCCGGTTTTGGTTTCCGTCTTTTGGCCGCCCATTCGGATGAAGGGGATTATCACACCTCGTAGTTGCTCGGCCACTTCTACCTCACTTCAGACAATTCATTGAGACTCTATGTGGTTCACCACTATAAGCTTCAGGGTTGTCAATCATGAATAGTACAAATCAAACTAATAGGTAGTCTCCTTCTACAAGCACTTAGTCACAGAAGTAGGATCACGCTCTTACTGCTATAGCTAATAATTATGGTTTGAATTGGAATGTACACCACTTTTTTCAATCTTCTTCCATGACCTTATTTTAGATCGAAACACAAATATTTCCCTCATCGAACACTACTCACATTCCATTTTCTAATTATAACTTTATTTTTTATTTTTCTCAAATCCGGTGTTTGTGCCTATATCCCAAATTCTGCTCCTCGAATTCTCTAAACATGAACCTAAACAACTCATCGCTGTCTTCGTCGCGTTGTACTAGTGCATCATCTGGCTGGCTGGGATCATCACAGAAGGAATCGAGTGCGTTCGACTACGCTGGCGTTTGTGTACGTGTACCAAGTAAGTATATTGGTTGCCGTTATGAACTGAATACACATGCGATCGTTTGAGACAGCCATCTTGTGGTGGTCCCGGCTTACGAGATGACGGTTACCCTGGAGCAGCGCGTTACAGTTTTGGGACAAGTGCAATCAATCAAACTTCACGGATAACGTCAACAACGCGCGTACGTGTTACTGCCCTCTGAATTCATACCATAGGCAGATCGCACCAACCAATCAGAGATCGTGTGGCCCAGACAGGAGCAGAACAACACCAGGAATACTGGAACCTACCTTGTACATATTATTTAATTCACATTACTTCTTACAATAAATGATCCACTACTCCGGTGATCTTTTCCTCACTTCTCGGTTACGTGGGATATTGCGTGCTAGTGCAGTGCGGTCCAGTGCTTACGTGATTCAGTTCGTGATTGTTAATTCTTGATTATTCCGTCATCCGTATTGTGTGGTTCATATTCCAATTTCAGTGCGATTGTGTAACCAGACAGTCAAAACCGAGGTTGGATGCAGTTTTAAGTAATCATGATCGCCCACTGAAGGAAGTACTCGACCTCCACAGATTGCGTTTGGTGAGGTATAGAATGCCACAGTGGAAAATGTTTTCCAAGGCATCTAGCGGACGGAAAATGTCAAAAGCGGTCAAATATAAGACCTGCCATGAGTGTACGAAAACTGTGACCGCGTTCGGCTCGCTGAATGTGGACTTCGGGATCATCGCAACCGCTGGTTGGAGACGCAGTGACAGGGTTAGGTGTCGGAAAGAGTGGCGGTCGTGCAACTATTTATTACTCTTGTAACCCTAATCTACATAAATTCTATTCTCTTTGACTGTGTTTTCAACATTCCAATCCCCCCTGTTGTTTTATCTAAATGAACAATGCGAAGACTGCAACCAAAGCCGCCGCACACGATAGAACTGTTAATGGACGTTTAAACTGAAATAGTTCCATCACCCTTACTTCTCTAATTTCGAAAGTGTTGATGCCATTATCCCCGACTAACAGCGCGTTTCCCCAACGTGAAGGTTTGGTGAATGACCATTATCACGGATTTGGCTATTGTTGTTCCATGGCGACGTTCTGGCACTCGTACCGAGTTCCTGGTCAACTGGGTTCGATAGCCAGAGAGAAACTCATTAGTTCTCGCTCGACAACTAAAATGACTCCCATCGCGTTTGGCGAGATCTACCGCTGAAATGGTTTGTGTAAAGTTCAGTTAACTCTCGTATCGTGCGTTTAACGTTTCCTGGGTAAGTTCAACATCTCGATTAGAACTGATAGGTCCTTATCTCGTCAGTTCCCTGAGAATACGCATGTTTCCGAAGTTTATATACTTGTGCTCACCCGTCTTTCTTCTGGCTATTAACAGTCTTTGGTCTAAAGCGTACAACTATGTTCAACGTTTCGCTGATTATGCCAATATTTAGTGTTCTTCTTCACTCCAGGACTTCTATTACCATCTGGCATGATCGCAATCATTCTGGTGTATCACTTGCGTCCGACTTCGGACGGATATCTACGTGGGGTTCTACTAACCGAATTGATTTGATGCATCGAAAATTACTTTCCTTTTTCTCTCACACAAACATCTTCCTTATTCTCCTCCTTTAAAATATAAAACCGAAAGATGGTTATCACTTGATTCTTCCCCCATATACCTTCCTTTTACATTAGGTTTTTGACTTAAGGGTTTGCCTCTTTTGTTAAATTACTTGGTAATCAAGAATAGCTTGCTTTGAACAGTACGTGATGTTTTGCAAGTCAGTCCGTAACCTGCGTGAAAGTCCTGATTTGTTGTGAGGCTTTTGATTGGAGTTGACAGATAGTCAACTGTCACTCTTCGTTGCCGTCGGGCCAAAATGAACTATCACTGAAGATGACACCTGAACAAGCATAAATTAGCTATTCGGTTCAGTCCTGGCACGAGTTGACTTACACAGTAGTAACACAACTTTTATGCGATCGGTCCAAGGTTCAAATCCCGGACGGTGGGTATGCATTCCTGATGAGTTCTAATAACAGTGAAACTGGAGTCTAGTACTTCCTGGTTGTGCAAGGTTGACTGTATGAACCGAGGATTGTGCGAAGGATGGTAAGTCCACGTTAATATATGACGCTTGCTATATGGTGCAGCGTTCGCCAAGAAACTGGTGCGGCGACAATCCTTAGCAAACTAGAGCATACTGATACTACAGACTCAGTTTCACCGGACAATGGCGATAACATTGCGTCCTGTGATTGAAATCGAAATACTTGATTCTCATAAGCCATGATGAGAGACCCGGCGGATTCCCTGAATATTTACTAGCGGTGTATCGTGTGGTTAATTGTGTAACTAAAAAAATATTCATCCTTCGGATTTTTTACAACCGAAATACAGCGGGTAAGCGGGTAGATGGACTGGTTTTGATAGTCAATGTCGGCGGTTATAGTGGAGTAAGTGGTCACCCAAGCTATTTAAGGGTCATGTAGAATTTAAACGAGATTTGATGTATCTTCATCTTAATGTTTAGAAGGCAGAGGGGCCGCACCCCGTATGAGCCTCATCACCGCCGGTACCGGTAGCAGCCCGCTACGTGAGCTGCAAGCTGCCACCGTCTAAACGAGTGCTCGTCGAGACGGCGTTTGAATCGTTCTGCTCCTCCACCACCTCCGATGGGAGTGAATTCCAGAGAGAAGTCGCCCTCCGGGAAAGGCGATAGACCAAAGGAAGCCCCGTCGACTCCAGCTTCCGGAGGGTGGGCCTGTGGCCGCGCGTCCGGTTGCATTCTTGCAATGGAAACATAGCACGTAGCTCTGGTCCCAGATCACCACGAAAAATCTTCCACAGATATATCAAATCCCCGCGGAGTCTCCTGTAGTTAACCGGGTAGAGCTGAAGTGCCTGGAGCCGACCTTCATAGCTGATCCCGCGACTAGCCGAGTGGCATAGCGCTTTACCCGTTCCAAGTTGGCCATTTTGGAAAGCGGGCCTACCGTATTCAAGTCGGGGGCGAACATGGGAGGTGAACAACTTCTTGAAAGCCATCTTGAAGGGCCGTCAAACGACCAACAGATAGCACCTAGCATGCTTCTTGCCGCAGAACATGCTCGCACGGTGTTCAACTGGGTCTTCATGGATGAAGAGATGATGACTCCCAAATCCCGCTCGGTGGCCGTCGAACGCAGTGGGATGGCCAGCGTCTCCCTTACCAGGCGCATATGAGCGCATTTCGACGAGTTCACTGGAAGTTCCCAGACATCAGCCCAGTGGTGTAACTTGTCCAAGTCCTCTTGTAGGGCATGGTGGTCCTCCGGTGTTCTCATAGCTCTTCACAGCTCCACATCAGCCGCATAGAGCAGGCAAGATGAGTTTACCTGGGAGGGGAGGTCATTCACGAACAGGGGGAAAAGTATGGGTCCTAGGACGGAACGCGGTGGCAGTCCACTGGTGACATGNNATGATAGCGACGCGACTCGGTCTGGGCAACTCTGACAGTGAACGTCCGCCTGACGAGGAAATCCTCAATCCAGCGTAGTACCGGGTCAGCAACTCTGTGAGCCATTAGCTTTTCCAGCAACCGTCCGTGGCACCTTGCAGAATGCCTTACTGAAGTCAATGAAGATGACGTCAGTTTCATGGCCAGCGGCCTTGGCAGACGCCCATTGCTC